ATATAAAATATATAAAATATATAAGATATATAAAAATCGTTTAATAATTTATATAACTTGTAAAAGTGATGAAAATTAATCCAGGACACGAATGACCGACCATGTGTAGTAAGGGTGCCAAAAACTAAGGTGTGTATTAAGGATTAATTAGAAAACTATTTAGTCTACTATTTAATTTTGGAATTTTAATTATTTTTCGAGTGGCGTGATAAATGAAAAATTTGGAAAATTAACCGCAAAATTCGTTGTGTATCACTCGCGATGGTAGATGTCAAGGTTAAAACATGCTTCACACCAATGCTGATCAATAAACATATTAATTCTTTATAACGTTTCTTATGCCTAACAAATGTGGCATGAGACACATTTCATTCCCGAGAATGAATCTTGGAGAGACGCAACGATGCGACCAACCGAGTAGGCTTACCGGATAAATACTCTGCTACAAAGACAGTAAATATAATCATTAGGATCGGAGGTCTCCCGATCCGCGATGTAGATCTCGGCTAGTGGCTCCCAGAAATTGTCGCACATTCTGAAGACGGGGGTCCTCTCTGTCTACCACTCTGTTATCGTCGATCGTCACAAATGCAACATACCTCACGCCCGAATTTCACGACCGCCGTCGCGTAAAAACAATCCGCCAGTCTATTTGACGATGCAGCATCGTGAGGAGGTGATCGCTCCTGATAGACTTACCAAAGTTGAAGTACGTTCATATAGATGTACATACGAGAGAACTCGCGATTCTCGCGATATATACTAGGCTGCGTTCAGAAATATTACCGACTGCCCCTGTGTATCGTTTTATCCTTATTGTTTACCCAATGTTAAAGGAGGATAAGATAATACACGGGAACACGCGGGTGATGTTTTCGAACGCAGCCCTGACGTTACTAAAAATTTATAGTTCATATCATGTGGCGTGTTCGGATTCTTACTCGGGTGCTCTTCGCAGTGTCACATCATCGTTTAACGTTCGATAAATAGCAAGGATGGAATGATATCTGGGTACCTATCATGGAACATGTCGAAATGAATTCCGATCGGAATTATTCCGTTTTCCCTAGAAAACAATCGAAATCTAGGGAATAATTGAATAGTTCCGATTGGAATTATTCCGTTTTGCCCAGAAAACAATGGAAATCTAGGAAATAATTGAATAATTCCAATTGGAATCCATTCCGACTTTGTTCCATGATAGGTATCCATGATAGGTACCCTAAGTGGCACTCGGGTGAACCTATGGCTACGTTTACACCGTGCATTTAGGCCGCAGCCTACGCAATAGATGTCTTTGTTTATCCTGTATATTAAACAAAGACACCTATCGTATAGGTCGCGGACTAAGCGCACGGTGTAAACGTAGCCACTATGTATTTCGTGAGATGGATTGCTTACAAATATCGCTACAAGTGGTTTCGCGGAATATCTGTCGCTGCGGAATTCTGTGCAACCGGCCAGAAGAACGACGCTAAAAAAATTTTTAACGATTTCAGACTAGTGTCATCCATGAATAATGAAGTAAGGAGCAGGAACGGTAATAAGTGTGAATACCGACACATTTCAATTTCAAGCCAAAAAACATCGACCTTGGACAGCTTTGTCTTAAGATATTGATTAATGCACAAAAGACAATCTCAACAAGAAATGAACGAATAAACATAGAATGCTTTCCATTTGATGACACAAGTCGACACAAGCATGATTCTGTCTTTCGTGACATTCAGAGAGTGACAAAGATAGAATGACACTTGTGTTAACTTGTGCCGACTTGTGTCATCAAATGGAAAGCACCCAGAATGCATTCAGAATCTTGACTGGAACCTGCTGCCATCTGGGATAGTATTTTCACTCTGCTTTAATCCTTTGCGAATCAAATTGTTTTTAAAAATTAAGCGAACGTGAAACGTTTTGTTCTCAGTTTAATGCAATCGATAGATTTAACATGAAATAAAAAATTTTTAATTACTATTTAGAACAATTTATAAAAATTCTAAAAATATACCTTGCTGATTATTATCATACACTAATTAGAATGCTTAGAAAGTTGTACACAAAAGTACTGTAAGTCATTGAATTAAATTCAACTTGATATCAAATTGCAAAAAGTTAGAATAATGGCTACATTTTTAAATTTTATTTCATTTTTAATCCTAAATTTTTGAAGTAATATATAATATTCATAAAGTATACGTGATATACATAAATGAAATACATAATGCGTGATTATCATAGGTATTTTTTAATTTTTTAATTAAAATTAATAATTAGAAATATAGTGTTTAAAAACATTATTAACAATTATTATCATTTAGATATTATAAATAATATTTTTATATAATAAATTAAATTAATTTTTATTCGAGATCAAATACCTTTCTAACGCAAATTTGTATGCAATAATGTCAATTGTATAAGTTAAAGTCTGTGAGAAGCGGATGCAGAGTAAATGAAAAGGTAACCCGACAAGTGGCGCTATCTGCGGGATGCTGCGGGAATCTCGTATACGTGAACGGAGCAATGGCGTAGGCGGTGATCCGTGTGATAAATTAATTTTTATTACTTCGTGGGTGGCGGCTCTTACTATTGGTCGCTGATCGGGTACCTCCTACTCCGCAACGGGGTCCTCTCCGACATTATTCCGTGCGACGACGGCGATAGAAAACGGCGTGCGATTTGTTTCGTCTTAAAGCGGGATGAACAAGGAAATTGATTGCGTCGCGGAGATCGGGAATTGTGATGCGGCTGACACGACAATGGAACGGATGTTTGCGTATCTCTCTCGCGAATAATTTTTCTGTTGGTTTCTTTCACAGATCGATGAGTCATATCGATTCATGCGATCATTATGTACGAATTTCACGATCGATACGAAATCGAACGTGCTTTGAATAGAATAGCGAGGTAAAACTTAAATAACGAGCAGAAACTGAAGAACGAGCTATTATTATGAAAATTTATAATAGCGTTTTTCAACGATAGTAATTATTATTAAAATCAATACCCTTCCGATTATTTAATCAAATATTTGGAGAATTGATCGACCAGTCAGAAAAATACTGAATATATTTAATATTTATTGAATATAAATGCGCCAATCCATTTTCTATGATTTGAAAAAACCGTGTTCGTTCTTAAAAGACAGCAAAGGATGTTTAGTAAGTAAGTGAGCGATTCATCTTATGTGCATATTGAAATCACTGACACAATCAGGCATTAAAATCACCGGAGAAAGAGCGCGTGTCTTGCACTCATTTTTATTCTCGTAGTGAATTCAGAATTCGAATTCTTTAATAATAATATAATATAAATATGATATGTACAAAATCCTAATTAAATGTTATTACAATATATTTTATATCGAAATATTTACATTATGATTTTACATTTTTTAAACAATGCAGGCGAATTCAATATCAAATACCCATTTCTTTCTACTTTTAATAAGTATATAATTATATTAATTAATATACAGATTAAATACTTTTTATTATGTCACGCAATAATTCTGTTAGCAAGCTAACTTAATGCAATACAAAATCTGCCGTTGCATCAGAAAAAAATCGTAAATTATTCACTGTTAAATCTATAGTGTCAAATTTAATCTAATTTAAATCGTCGCTACAGATTTAACAGTGTTCATAATAGATTTTGTATTATTTCAACTACAACAGACACATAATTACACTCATTTTTAAGAAGCTTCATTTGTTTAATTTTCAAAATAGAATTAATAGAATATTTAACTTATTAAAACAATAAGTCATAATTCTTGCGATCATATAGCGCGAACATTTACAGATTCAAGTTGTGCTGTGTTGTGAAATCGTGATTTGATCCACGTTATCCAGAGTCGTACCTGAATAGCCAGTTCGTATAGCGCGAAAAAAAACGCAGGCAATAAAGCGCTTCGATATACGATGTGGTAGTGCTATTATCGATTACGTTTACGAGATGGCTGACTACTATAGTTATACGAATCACTATTAAATATTGCATCGCGCCATACATGGAAACTGCATTGACGCATTTTACTGCGTCAATGCAATTCCTGAATCTAATTCATCGGCGACTTAATCCGAAAGACTACGCTTTGTTCGATTATTTCACTGACAATATACAAAACATTAAAACAAATTTTCTTGAGTTTGTAATATTTTTAATCGATTAAAATCAGTGACAAAAGATTAAGATCAATGCAGATGAAATTTTTCGAATATTAAAAAAAGATAGGATAAATTTCATACAGTAAAGTTAATTTTGTATCATGATAAATATAACTTTAGAATCATTGTAGTTCAATTTAAGAAAACGACTAATAGACAAACAGAACATATGAATGAGTATGTGCTGAAATTAAAATTTGATTATTTTTTTAAATGTTATTTTGGGGGTTCTCTCTACATTAAGACAAAACTTTGCTTATGTTATCTAAAAATTTATTACTATTATTTCAAAGAAAGATTATATATATTATGTATTATATGTTTGAAGATTATATACATCGTGAAACATGATTATAATCTTTTTCCTCATATATCTACTTATTATATCACGACTGTTATAAGAGGTTAATAGAATTTTAGCAAATATCTAAAATTATTACTTGAAAATTGCCTTTGAACTTACAAGTACACTCTCTTCGGAGAATATATCAATTTGATAATATTACAATATTAAGATGTAAATGTCACAATTCTTCTCGATTTATTTCATTTTCGATGACTGGTATCAATTATTCGGCTGTCTTGAGATTATGCTATCAGACCGTTGTAACGTAATAGGGAATATTCTAATTTTCTATTTATTATTATTTAATTGACTCTTCTTTTTTTTCTTGTTCGCGATAATGGACGAGGAAAAGAAACAATGTTTTCATGTTTTCCGCGAATGCGAATTCAAACCCATGGATGATCCCGTGATTTTTCGAGAGAATCGCGGCATTGTAGAACGGAATGGAATTCCGTGCTGCGGATCTGCATAAAATACCGCTGGATGAGAAGGAGGGCTGTTGTATGGGACAACCAAGAGAGAGGGAGCGCGCATACGTGTGTCGTCTCTTCGGTCGCGGGAGAATCGCGGCTGCTCGCGAGAGAAGCAGGTTGTAACTGGATGGTGGGGAAGAGAGATGAATGCAAGGCGGGTAGACGGTGAGGGACAAAGTACGAAACGAACAGCTGGAATGACGGAGAGGAACGAGCGCGCGAACGAGCGAGAGGGAAGCAGCTGGACTGTGTTACCTCCAACGCGGCGCAGCGCGGTGCGGCGCGGAGACGGATGCTGCGGCAAGGCGGATCGAGAGGGAGAAGGAGAACGAGATGGGGGAAGATCAGAAGAGATAGATAGATAGAAGGAGCGAGAGCGTGACAGTGGGAAGAACGGAGGCGCGAGTGAGATCGGCCGGTGAGGAGCGAGAAAGATGGTGGAGCATATACTCGCGAGAAGGCTGCGGTAGTCTTTCTTGGCTGGCTAGGTGAGATAAGGACAAGGCGGACAAACGGACTGAAGAAGGTGCCTAAGGTAGGGATACTCAGTCTCGCGGCCACGTGCTACACGAGCGCACGCCCCGAGCCGGCCGGCGGTCCAGCCAGCCAGCTACGACATCGTCCTCTTCTTCTTCGTTCTCGTATCAATTCGCGCTTTCTCCCGTCCATTTGTTCGTTCGTTCATACCTCCGTCAGTCTCTTTTTGTTGAACGAAAAAGTCGCGCGACGTAGTTCCGAGCGATCGGTGTGGTTCTTCAGCATCATCAGCATGCTCCAAAAGGAGCAACACGCGCGCAGTGATCCTGAAGAGATATTGAAGGGACACTCATTGTCAGCTGTGATCCGCGCGGAGGGCGATATCCTGTTGTGATTCTTTCCGATGGATGATCGCGTTTTTCCCCTGCCGGAAGATATTTTCGACACGAATGTGGATCATATAAATATCGGTTTAGTGTAATACCGACGTTATCGTAACGAGGACGATCGCGTACTGTTTGACAACATACAGTGCGTGGATGAAGAACGTGCGTCGATGTGTGCTTTCTGTGTTAAATAAGGGCGGGTGGCGACGACGCGTGCTGTCACAGCGGACTGACATGTGTCCATAAAGGCGACGGTGCGAAAAATTGGAAAAGGGTTTGATACGGAAGTGTATCGAGAGGAAAAGGAATAAACGGGAACATTTGGTGAAGGACATTACATAGGTATGTATATCGATACAATTCTAAAGTTGCCATTGCAGTGTCCGAATCGTAGGCGAATCTAACTTGAGTTCCTCCGTCTTGCTTTCTGAAAAGAATGGATGAGTATTCATAAAAAATGGGCTAAAAGTAACACTGTACAATTTTTTTTCTCATGTAACAAATGTCCATTTTTCACATATTTTTCTCTCTTTTTTCTCACATATATTTGTTATACTATAATTATATTATTTAATAAAAAAGAAAAAATTTTATAAGAAATATTTTTATAAGAAATTTATAAAATATCAATTTTTTGGAGAAGCTCAAAGTAGTTTTTGTAGATCCGCCTATAATCGGCTTTATTCCTTTATTTTTTATTATTCTATATATTTTTCAACATTCTTAAACGGTACTTTGCATGTTTGCATCTTTGCATCTTTGCATGTTTTAAATATTAAAAATAAATATGTTCGATGACTTATTACTTATAGTGAATAGATTGTTTCATTTGAATACTTGACATCACGTTTCCAGTGACATTTGACATAATCGCACGAGAAGATTTCAGATGTCGTGCGAGGTTAAAGTTTATTTTTGCTTGGATATTTATACTCAGAAGAAAAGACATAGTAGTAGCAAACTATAAAAGTGACAGCTACACAAGGTTTATATGTAGAATAAATCATTTTATAATTATTGTACTTAATAAATAGTTTATTTAATTATATATTAGTTTATTCAACTATGTACACTAATTCTACTTAAACGTGTATAATTGTCATCTTTATTATTGTATATACTATACTTTGAGTGTAGAATATATTTTTCTATTATAGTATATCATGAACACTATTTTTCAATTTTTCTCATATTTACCGAGCAACAAATAACAATCGTAAAGTTATACTCTTGCGGAAAGTTTTGATACAATATCGGACGTGGCGATAGCGCGATCATTTATTTTATCATCTCGACAAATATCGTAACAATCTCTTTGGTACGAATGCAATTTTCTATTATTCCATTTATGCCTATTACTTCAAGGCTTAATTAATCCCTTACGTTGAAATGGAATTATATCTGTGTCAATAATGGTCAAATTTTAGAAAATAAAAAAAACTAAATTAAAAACAAGTTCAACACAAATGAGTGAAGAGGGCCATATTCGGTAAAAATATATTGTTTTCGGCAACCAAATGCCGAAGCTTTTAAAGTGATAATTTGTGTAAAAGATTCCTAATCAAGGATTTAAAAATTCATACATTTATCAATGATATTATAATGCATGCTATACTTAGCCATAAGTTCGCGTATGACAATCTATGGATCGATTTCAGTGCTCGCGATTATTTAATAATATATGTCATCACGAGTTCGGCAAGCCAATAATCAATGCCGCTACACGAAAACTGGATTCAGGCCTCACGGCGGTTATGATTAATTTGTCACGACTTAGAGAAAAGAGACGGAGTGCAACAATTTCAACTGTCTGCAGCTAGTACTGTGATATCCGTGTGACGTACCGCTCACAACCGGTTCATTAAAGTAGCAGTCCGCTCGTCACTCATTGGCTGCCACAGCTTGGCAGCGATCTGTTCGGCAAAAAGGAGAAACAATAAAAAAAAGGGAAAAAGAACCGAGATGAGAAACGGCGCGTATATATGATGCCTTTAACGCGCGAATGTGTTTCAACTTTCAATCATTATTATTGCGAAGACGAAAGGCAAGCCGATTGCGATCACCGTACGCCTCTGTCAGATTGAGAAAAAATATTGCCGGACAATCGAATTATTAATAGTGAGATAGGAGTGGCGGTGGCTTTCGTAAAGCGAGAGGAATCAATGGGAGAAACGACGAATCGGCGATGAAATCTTAGGGAATTGCTAGAAATTTGTGTTTACGCGAAATAAATTTACATGCCTTCATAGATATTCCAATAGGTCGCCGCACGAACGCTTTCACAGAATAATATATTGGATGCTGCAGGCAATCCATAGCGGGATATTTGGGAGTATGGAAAATATTCAAACGCTCTTGTAAATCGTATTGGATGTCGATAAAAAAATTAATTTAACTCTCGAAGCGATATTTATGGTCCATTCTTTATTTTAATGCCGTTTTAAGTAATGTCTTAAGATGCTAATATAGCTCTCTGATTGGTTCATAACATCTTAAGATTGTAAACGGTTTTTAAATTTTGTATTTAAAACGGTCTTAAATACAAAAACCAGCTATGAATACCAGCCTCGGTTTCAATCGGGCGTACTTTAATCCGCGATGGAACGCGCCTTTAATGCGACGCAAAGCAGAACATTGTTCCGTACGTCAAATGTCAAATCTCATCGATCGATCGCGCTGTTGCGGCGAGGAGATCGCGACGATTTAACATTTCCGTGCGCGCGGTGCCATTATCTCTCGCTGACGCACCGCTAATTACGCTTTAATACCCTAATTATTTCACAGATTAAACTCACAATCGGTCCGCGTGGCTCGCAATTAATGAAACTGTTCGCGTCGATCGTTCCCCATTTATTAACGAACGAGCGGTAGACATCGTGCTCATGATGATCATTTCGCACACGAAGAGAAACGATTCTCCTTCCCCCGATTCTTCAAGGACCGCGGATGGTGTCGCGATACACGTAAATACGTGGAGACGTGGACTCGCACGATGACAGCTGAAACATATCGGTGATGACGGCGCGCCGTTAATAGTCCCAGCCGCGAAACGCGAGAACAGCGTCCTTCGGCGCCGGCTAATGAAATACACGCTAGTGGACGCGGCTCAAAAACGCAATTAGGAAAAACCCTGATGGCACCAATGGCCGATCGTCACCGTCATCGCTGTCATCGTCGCCGTAATTCTCGCGAACGATCGTGTTTATCGTCGCGTTACAATTGCGCTACCGCCGGCTCGCCGCGCGACGCAACGTTAATCCGTGAAAACAAGGATTTATCGGAGCCGGAGAGCAGCAAGGTGACGACGTATTCAACGGAACCGGTCTTCCGCGGGCATGTGCGGTTGTTAATTAATTTGTCATTAGTCAGCGTGGAAAGATGAGAGGCGCGCAATAAAATTTATCGATGGCCGCAGCGCCGTGCGACCGCGGTACTCTTTGTCGTGGAGGCGACCGATTACGGCAATTTTAATAATATATACGTGCGGGAGCAACGCGCTCGCCGGATTGCTCATGAAAGCAGTCGTATTGCGATGATTTCTTTAATTAAAGTATAATAATAAGAGATCTGGGGAAGGATTTTCCTGGAGACTGATCGACACTCAGATGTTCATTGTGTTTCTAATTAAAATATACATTTTTACGGTAATTATTATCAGAGATCATGTGAGTGTAATGTTATGCACTGTACTTTCTCTCTCTCTCTCTCTCTCTCTCTCTCTATCTCTTTCTCTGATAAGATATAAACAATAGTACCTCGTTTACCAAATATTATAGATTACATCTTGAGGACACGCTATTCTTGTGGATATATTTCCAAATATCTTAGAGTCATCACAATAACTATATGTATGTACACGCAAAGAACGATTTTGCTGAAGTACCAAGAGACGTATATCTAAAAATTTAAGTAGATACAAATTTGAAAATAATTTTATGGGACCAAAATAATTAAGTAGGAATTTCAAGCGTACTATGAAAAGTTTGATATTTCAGCAACCAGTTTGAACGTCCCACAAAATTATTTTGATGGTCGAACATTATTTTCAAATCTCTCTCTGTGTTTATAAATTAAATTTTCATACTCTTCAACAAAACCGACCTTTTTGTGTATAGCTATGGATTATCTAAAAGCTATAATTTTTACTATAAATTACTATTAAAAGTAAAAATAAAAAAGAATCTGTATTGTCAGTTATACTAACAATAAGATTTATACTTTAAATGATTTCGAATTATTACAAATCGATAGGATTTTATTAAATAAAGTCCTAAGATTTAATATTGTTTATTAAATAAAGCTTTAGTTGTGGATACTTATTTGTTAATGTCCGTTAGTGTTCTGGATTAAATATACCAATTATCTTTGATATATATCATCGCAATTGTGTAACTTATAACGTTACAGTTCAAACTTTAAAGTAGTACCACTATAAATTCGTAGCGTTTAATGCATTTTATTAACGTGCTTCAATTATAATCCATGAATACTAGAAAATTTAGTGTACAATCTTTACTGCTATAGATTCCCGCATATGTAACACGATCGTGTTGCAAGTATATGCCAATATTACTCAGTGATCGTATAGATTAACGTAACGCAACGACGCCAATTACCGCGTTCTTAATCGTGGCTTTGTGATCGACCAGGGAAATCTCGATATCCTCAATTAACATTTACTTTCAAATCGACGTCTGGAACACACACACTGGATTAATTTTTCAGGCTACCGATTGTTATTCCCTCTCGAGCGCGTTGCGCTCGTTCCTCAAGAAACCGAGCGCATTTACTTTCCGAATTATTGTGTGTAATAGACGAATATATTAGTTTCCACAGATATATTTACGACATTTATCATTCCATCCCGAGTTGTACGATGGGAATTTCTTATCGACGGATTGAAATTAAACATTGTTAATTAGAAACATGATTCATACACGCCGCTTAAGTTTCCGTATGGTGCGCGGGTTGAAAATTAATACGTGGCAGCCTCTGTAATTAGCTCTTGTATTTATGCATCCCTCGCAGGGCGGTCTACATTAACATTGGTAATGGCGTTACACCGTTGTAAACACGACATGTTATCTCGAGCGATACGAACCCGGGGGTCTCGAGAAGGACGTTCGCCGATCGCGATTTCGGCGGACTGCCCTCTCTCGTTTCTGCGACCCGCCGCTCGTATTCTGAAATAATTATTATACATCGCGCTGATATACGCCGCCTCGTGCGCTTGTTCGCCATAAAAATACCGCTTTGATAGTGGAAGATATTCGTTAACGTACATTCGAGTATTCTGTTACTGGGAGGCGGCATTCTTGCCGGACGCAAATATCTTATCTCGTATAAGTGTATTTATAATACAGCGAATAAATCGCCGAATCTGAATAAGATATTACGATCTTGAACATGCATGGTATGTGAAGGCAATAGAAAAAGTATTTGAAACTTGATCGAAACTTGTGCGTGTGGCCATAGTTATTAATATCATCGTTAACAAGCGATACTGGACGTTATCGCGAGATTGTTCTTCAGAGAATTATTTGTTTGTCTTTTTTCTCCTTTATCAGGCCGGATGTCACACGTCGCGTGAACGTTTCAGCACGGCGAAACGCGAGAAGCGCGCAAAATGGTGGCTCGTTACGTCAAACAGAAAGAGGGTAGGTCGGGTCACAGGCCAGGACGGCTGACACCGAGGGATTAAAACGTGTCGAATGGATGTGGGCGATCTGTCAGGTCCGGCAGGATTGGTAGGGAGCGGATCCATCTCGGTTGCGACGGGTGTTGGTATTATTGCCAACGCGTCATCCGCCACTCCAGGGTGGTGGACGCCTACGTCGACAATTACATCGGCAGCGGCCAACACCGACGTGGTGAGTCTCCTTTTTTTTCTTTTGATCATTAGTTCGCGCAGAAGTTCGTCTTTAAAAAAAAAATAAAATGAGAAGATGTATTTTATCATAAATTTTATATATATATATTGTGTTCATATACAATATATAGTGAACGCAATTTTTTTTTCAAAGATGGATAGTTAGCTATGTCTGTACATTTTTTTCGTACGGTTATTTAATTCTCCAGAGTTGATGGTGGGTCTATTGACTCGTTCAATTATAAAGTGTCAAAAATATCAAACAATTTAATTTTTTATGTTACATTTGGATTATTCTTATTAAAATATACTTAGTATTCATTCTTTTTTATACGAATTATATCATTTTGATTCCTTAAAATTAATTAATGCTTTTTAATTAATATAAATTAAATTGATTTTACAGATTGACTCACAATAACTGTATTACAAATTTGAGCGTCAGCTCTGAAGGATTATTAATTAACATTAACACGAGCACTTGTTTAATAGTATTTTTTATATTGGCTAATGTATTCAGTTATAATAGGAGAATGACGAAAAAACTTGGACATTTGTAATTGATATTTGTAAATATTTGCATTAATGCTATTAGATTAATCATCGAATGAGAAAGATTCGCGTGTCACGTGGCATTTATTGTAAATTATGGTCTTTCTTATTATTCAAATATGGTATTTCTGTACATTAGTTTGCGATTCAATTAAATTAGTGTCTTTTACGAACTCGGATTGGAAACGCGTAGGAATCGTGCGAGTTTACGCTTGTCATCATCGCTCACTCGGTGGTTGATTAGTATTTACATGGGCCGGATTATTCTAAATCGTTAACCGAGGCTCAGAATAACGGAATCGAGGAACGATGGGAACCTCGAAAGAGAAGAGAACCGTGTCGCTCGCGATGTAAAAAGGCCATCAACATTATATCGGCACGTTCGCCTCTTCATTCAACGTCGCTCGTAGCGGCGTCTCACTTATGAGATGATTCTCGTGTGGGACGTGGGTGGGCGACGGAAAGGATTCGGACGGATACAGACCGTTTTGTAGCAATATAGATTATTCGCAAAATGCGAGAAAAAGCGGCACAAACCAAAGGGGGAGAACAGCGCATTACTTAGTCCCGTCGATGTGGTGGTTTGTGGCCGCGGGGATTAGAACCGAGGTGACATAGCCGCGTCATCTGTTGGACGTTTAACCTTTTTTGCCTCCTACCTCGGCCTGCACGTCGCTACTTCTCGTCGTCATTTCCGTGAGAAGTCATCAGTCCGTACCGCGCATACGTTCCCAGGTTAATGAGATCGAAAGTCGTTTTCGAATACCTGCCGCCGCTAACCTGCACTTCAGCATTCACAATCGGCAGAAATCCCGTCCAATCCCATTCATTTGGGGAATATTTGAAGAGGCCGTAGGTTAATCTTTACCCCGCATTAGAAACTCTCTAATAAGAATTTGTACAAGTTCTCTTTCGCGTTTTGTCAAAATCACGCGAGAGAGAAGGATGTACTTCTTTCATTCATTACTTCTTTCTCTTCTATATCTTTTTCTTATCTTTTTTCTTTCTTTCTGAAGTTGACAAAACATGGCAGACCAATTAAAACTGATTATCTCACATCTGTACGGAAAGAACGGTTTTACTAAAGTACCTCTATCTAGCAATTTAGTTAGATACAAATCTGAAGATTTTGTTGGACTATCAAAATAATTATGTAGAACGCTCAAATTGTTCGCTCAAAACTTTTTGTAGTATTGCCCATTATGCTTGATGCCCACCATTCCTATGTAATGATTTTGATGGTCCAATAAAATTATCTTCAGATCTGCATCTAATTTTTTAAATACTTCAGCAAGATCATTTTTTGTAGATTCTTATTAGAGTAATTAAGGATTTTTAACGCGCATGCGAAAAAAGAGAAGGTTTGCCATTTTCGCGAGATATCACATAGCATGCATGTTTATTGATGTAGATATTACAGTTAATGCGTACATTAGCGTCATTATGTCGAAGTACTCTTTCTCACGATTTAGATCACATAGAAATCTCATATTGAAAGAACGATTTTGCTGAAATATCTAAAAATTTAGTTAAAATTAGGCCATTAAAATATTTGTGTAGAAAACTCAAGATGAACAATATTGTAAAAATTTTAATATGCTAGCAATCAACTTTAATACTTTAGTAATCACCTTCTATATAATTATTTTAATAGTCCAATAAAATTTTTTCAGATCTGTATTTAGCTAAATTTTTAGATACTTCAACAAAACCGTTCTTTTCGTGTACTAGAAGTGCTCGCTCGCGTAATCGTTTTGTAATCAAATTGATTCTGTGTGAGGGGCGGTAACAAACGTGGCGATGCCTAAATCTAATTGATCCAATATAGGTATATTACCTTGCAAATCGCCGTTATCTCGTGTTACACAAATATACACTCGAAACGGAGTTCAAAGCAAACCGTTATGTGTAAATATTCACCATTCGTGCAAGTCGCACAACAAACCGAAATATTAATGAATCATAAAATTTACTTGCGAAAGTCATAAATGACTGCAAACGCGTCGTCCCATCTGGCCGTGTGTCGCCCGCGACGGGCGAAGAAGAGTTCCAGCGAGTGTGAATCTCACACGAGCGCGTTTGATCATCCCTGACAATTACCGCTCGTAACGCGAGCGATCAATTTCTCGTCGCGTTACGACAGAACGGCGGCCGTTACTGTAGCGCACTCTTTTCGTGTGGGAATCGGATCTGTGCGAGTCGCATTCTCCGCTCTTTTCCCCGCGCACAATTCGTGTGTTCTCTTCTCCCCGTGCCTTTCTCGCGACGAGCCGCACGTCCAAGCTCCCATGAGGAGCTAGTAATGACTGGCTAACTAGGTTTTAATAGGAAGACGATTTCTCGCAGCGAGAAAATAGACCCCTCGTTCGCGCACTCCTCGCTGATTCTCGTGCGTACGAGGCAAGAAAGAGTTCTTCTTCTTTCCCGCGCGACATTACCGTCGAGGATCCTCCATAGCGGAACAGATGCGCGCTCGCGTTGATTACCGACTACAATGCGCGAATCAGCCGCGATCGCATTATTCGACAACAGATTGTATGTAGTCGAGGATATTGACGCGAGATCAAATCTAAAGATGAGAATTCCTTCATGAATTTCCTTCATTCCTTATTGTTAGACTGCAATCGATTGTGGCAGAAGCTACAGAAATAAATTTCTCTTTCTGAATTAGTTTTTATTTTTAATGTAAAATAATGCAAAATAGAGGGGAATTATTATGTTTAAAAATGACGTATAGTAAAGAAATAACATTATATAATAAAATTTGCTGATCTCAATTTTATAATGGTGGAATTGATCCAACATTTTAAAGGTACTATCACATATATGTTTCTGCAATTCTTTTTATAAATATGTTATAAAAATTGGATAGACGATACTTTACGAGCGTTTTACATGTTACAATATTACATTTACAATATAACGGATGGAAATATAATGCTTATATTCATAAGATCTTGATTAAATTTTGTAACTCTAATGAGTCTTGAAGAAGACATTAATAATCAATTGATATTTTACACATACTGATAAATTGATAAAAATATTCCTTTCGAAAGTAATTTATTATGTTTACATATTAAGAGAAAATACACACATTGGAAATATACTAGAAAAAATATATTTTAGTAGATTTTTATATTGTTTGATGATATAATTCGAGTTATAAAAAAGATATACATATTTATTAAATTGTCTTATTTCTTTTCGATCATGATGTCATAATAGCGCTTTGTGTCGAAAGAGGAGGCTCCGATCCTATATCCTATCACAGTACTCTTCGTTGTTCTGATCTTGCATTTCGAGAGCATGCATTAGATCGAGAAACCCTTCCGTGATTGGCAGATATTGTGCGGGGATCAGGCGCACGATCGTCGGGCATATTCTGAACGTCCTCAGATCCTGAGCGTAACCACATGTCGCATCTTTTTGTTGCAGATGAATCAGCTCTGCAGGGTTTGCGGAGAGCCAGCCGCGGGTTTTCACTTTGGGGCCTTCACGTGCGAAGGCTGCAAGGTCAGTATCTTCGCGTCGCCATTCTTCCACAGCTATTCATCCGTATCGTTATTCTCTAGTAACAAAACAAAAAAGGAACGAAGAAAAAAGATAGAAAGAGAGAGATGACTCGCGATCGTTACGTTTCTCGCGACATTTACACCGGAAATTACGTAAATCGTATAGAGTCGCGTAGGAACAAAGCGCAATAGTCGGATATATCACTTTTTTATACGTAAGTCTCTCGCATCGGCGGCAGTATCAAGGATATTATCCTGATAAAAATCAATTGCCCATAATACTCATTTACAAATTTTGAATAATTTTTAGTAAGAATAAAAAATAATTTTTTAACGTATTTTTAGAGGTATATATATTTGACGTATTTTTGAGTTCGAATCTGCCGTCAGAAATTCTACCAGAGTGAATTTTTAAAATGCAGCATGTCAATTTTAAGATATATAACATTTTTTCTGAATAATCCCGGTGTGTGATAAGTTATGAACAAGACGAACATTTCCAGGATTTGATGAAAATTGAGAAACATTATCAGGGGTACTGGAATGGAAACGTGTTAAATGACTATTACGGATTTCTAATACGTGTCATAACCAATCCAAAGTCATGTAAAAACAAAATTTGAACTCTGAACACTTCTTGTTGAGAGTGATTTGTTTTCTACTTTCAATAAAACTTGACTATGTGGTCTCTCTCTAAATTCTTTGGAATGGAATCTCATTCTAAAGAGTGAAAATTGAGTCAATCTTGAAAAATAGTGATTCAATTTTCAATTTTTAAGAGTAAAGGTACAATTTCATGCAGTGAAGGAAAGCTGGCTTTTTACCCCCACTCCATCAATTTTCGTATATTCCAGCGAAGTTACGCTCAAAGTTCGATATTGTTCAACTAATAGCAAACATCGCTGAAATACATGACATGTCATGTCCTGTTTATGGAATCGTATGTCTTCCAAGATTAATTTTGAGAGCGAAGCAAGGAAAAAGCCATGTTCTCTACGATTTTTGGAAATAGGTGTTATCCTACTTTTTTTTTTAGTAATTGTATATTAGCAATTGCAACGGCTATGCGTCGCCTCCGAATCTTTGCTGCAGCTATAGCTGCTACTATACGCGCGGGTATATTCTTTTTTACACTAGATGTATTCTCATTTTTGTAATCCATTTTTGTAATCCATTTTTATTAAAATGAATTAAAAACTAGCGAAAATAAATGAGTGTATTCGTTAACTTAGCCAGCGAAGATACGCTCCATGGAAAGGAAGCAGGAGAAGAGCGAACAGCTTTCGAATGCTGCTTTGATTTTAGTGGAGTGGGGATAAAAAGCCAACTTTCTTTCGCTGCACTTTAAGAATCTGCATTTAAAAAATTTTAGAAAGTATATTGAAAAAAAAGTCTTCTTATATCTTAAAAATCGGGTGATGGAAATATTTCGAGCAGATCAGACTCAGCGTCGAAAATTATCGTTAATCGATTACGACTGACCAATGCGCGCCCATTTCGTTTTCTGTTGTACAGTCCTTCTTCGGGCGCACCTATAACAATCTGGGTAGCATTTCCGAATGCAAGAATGGCGGCGTCTGCGTGATCAACAAGAAGAATCGTACCGCCTGCAAGGCATGTCGCTTGCGGAAGTGCCTGATGGTGGGCATGTCCAAGTCCGGCTCACGCTATGGCCGGCGCTCCAATTGGTTCAAGATACATTGTCTGCTGCAAGAACAGTCTCAGCAAGCGCAAAATCGCTTGATCAAAGATCCCAAGTCCGCGTATGAGAAAGCGTTCGGCTCGTTAGACGCCGCGAATAACAATAATAATAATAATACCGAGAACGCCAGTAACACTAGCGCCAGTAGCATCGTCGGCATTGTCACTACGGCGACGACTACGGCGAACAGTTACCATCATCACCTGCACCACCATCATCATCCGGATCGATTGCCCAAGAGAGAGGATGGTGCGCTCAGGCCACCGGATATTCCGGTGCAACTAAGGTCACCCGACATCCCGCCGAGAACCAGCCAGGAAGCGATCCTGAGGCCTACCGATCTCCCGAGGGCACCGCACGAGATGCTCAGGCCCGAAGTTTCGAGGTTCCCTATGTGGCGGGGTCCACCGTTGTTTCATCCAGCGCTCACGCACATGCAGTTGCTGAACACGCCGTTCTTTCCGTTTCAGCAACGCTTTATCGTACCTTATGTGAATCAAGTAGGTCCACCGCAGATGGCGACCAGTTTGTCGAGTTCGTCCAGCGAGAGCATCAGTCCGCGATCGACTCCATCGCCAACGAAGAGAAGTGAAGAGAATCGAGAATGCCGCGAGATCGATCGCGAGACCGCCGAACGAGACAGATGTCCCAGAGCAGGTTCGATAGAGGTCGCATATGATAAGAATCTGACGTTCTTGCGATCTCTCGGGCCAGAGCAAGATGAGCCAATGGATCTCACTATGAAGGACACACGAACAGATGGACAGGAGGTGGATGCTGGCAGCATGGAGGAGGAAGAGGAGAAGTCGAGCAACAGCGAGGAAAATGAGCTTCTGCAGGACACCGGACCGCCCTTGGATCTCACCCGAAAGACATGACCTCGGATACCAAACGGTGCTCACTAAGTGCTCAACAATAACTCAATCCGATCGAGAAAGGATCGTCATCGGTGTCAGCCCAAATTCACGTGGATAATAGGGGCAAGGTCGCCGAGTAATTTGTTGAAATAGAAGCTAACGATCAAAGCCTCTCCCATAGCAGGAGGAAGGAAACGAACGATCAAAGGAAAAAATGAATGGATGGGAAAATGACGAAAAAGAAGGAGGCAAAGAGAAAGGTGAAGAAGAGAATGGAGAAGAACGCGCGAATCATACGAGATGCGGAGAGAGGGTGAAAGAAGGTACAGTTACATCGTAATAACGCGGCGAGCGAGAAGCACGGCCAAGTGTCAAAGGTGCCTTGGCGCAAGAAACGAGGAGGCGACTCAGGGGGAAAGAGGAGTAGCCGAATACGATTACGTTGGAACGACACGAGAGGGAAAAGCAGGAGGAAGCGGGGAGAGCGCGGTCGGCCTACGCCGAAGAAGAGGAAGAAGAAGAAGAAGAAGAAGAAGTGCCGCGCGTAGCCAGCCGGCATAAACGGCTTTACGATCGGCGATCGTCCGATCGATGAAAATTGCTCAAGCCGCTCGGTATTAGCCGACACACAGGTCTCTTTTGCCCGGTCGTACCCCGACGGCAGGTGCACATTGACGAAGCGACCGAGAATATATCGGCTCGCGATACATTCTCTTTCGTCGGAGAAACGTACGACGGACGTATCGTGCCTTATTAAGCTGGCATCAGACTATGCGCGACTCGCGATTCCGGCTATTCGTTATTGAGTCTCGTGCATATTGTGGACAGGTAGATTCGTCGCGTTCGTTATTCGTCGCTAATTCATCATTCGCGCTGATTCGTCAGCGCGGAGCGGTATATCGACGAAACTAAGAGGCGTGAAACACTATCGGATCAATTCATTCGTGATCGTTCGTGTATAGAGCTGCGCTATGCGAACGAACGAGACTACGAATCGCGAATCGTGTGGCAGGGTTCACATCGGCGAACCGACGAATTTCCACTACGGATCACGAACCGCGAATCACGAATCACGAATCGCGCATATCGTAGCATCAGCTTGAAGCGGTGCCTTAAAAAATACGGCGGTAAAGATACCGCCGGTGATAGTTTAACGTTAAACGATATGTAACCGTTTGCCGTTGCGTGGCGACAACGCACGGCGGGATGGCCAGTGAGTGCTTCGCGCGTACTATTGCGCCGACGAATCGTTCGGCAGTGTTCGGAGGCTCGGATCAGCTTGGGTTCGATCCGTGCACTCGCGTCGATTTGTTTAAAAAAGAAATCGACGGCGATGCAAGAGATCGGACGACAATGATCCGGGCGCCGGATAAATTGTGATTCTGCCAATTCCAAGTGCTCTTAGTACGTAACTTATGTATATTTTTCGAGAGTCTTGTCGGACGAACAGGGATCATATCGAATCCAAGCGCGAGGAACCGTGCTTCCGAAAAGCTCTGATCGTGTCGATCGTCCGCAGTGGGATCCGCAGTTGCGTTTAAGTACAAAAAAAAAAATAAGAAAGGAAGGAAGAGAAGAATATATGGGAGATGCGGTATTAGACCACGATTAGACGATACGCGCGAGGCATGGGCACCGTTTGAGTGTCCGAGTCGAGAGAAGAGTACGAAATGAAATAAAGAATATTGTATACTTAAATGTGTGTAGTACCTTGATCGCCGTTCATTAAATATCCCTCCACGCTCATCGATCCCCGATCCTCCGTCACGTTCTTAACGCGAGATGGTATTCGATTACTTTCGTCTCGCGCATCTTTCACATTCCACGCCGCGCCGCTATCGTACGCGCGCGTTATAATATTTATACACGCGCGCGCGTATAGACGCGTATCATCGTATCTGCGATGTTATTTATCTAGCAATAAATTTGTCCGTCTTGATATACTACGCAAAACACGTTTTCCCGATAGTTTCACGCCGACGCGACGCGACGCCTCGGGAAGAATGATGCGATTCCCCCGTCCAGAGTCGAGGACGTCGAAAACGCCTGACAATAAATTTTCTTAAAAGTTCAGCAATAAACACGCGAGTATATCGATCGTAAGGTTTCTCCTCCTAAGGTCGTTTGACCGGGTCAGCCGGAGCTCCGTTCCGCGCGCGCGGAAAAAAAATAACTCCGCAGGAGACGGCCAGCGAAACAAGCGCGCGAGCGATGTACCAGGAAATGCGTACGCGGAAGTTTTATTGCTAATTACGTTATACTCTTCGAAATCGAGATGGTTTCTCGTCGGTGCGTAATGTTCCCGCGTGGATCTTGATAATTTATGAATATCCGTGCCGCTGCGAGAATCTTCGAGGTGCCGCAGACCTCGAGGAGAGATCATGGCCGGAATTCACGTTTTCGCGATACGAGACCCGTCTGTAGAGATTTGTCTTAGAGGAAAGTTTTCGTCTGTTTTAGAACGTGACCTCCTTCGTGAATACATTAACGCATTCTTCATCGATGCGCTATTATTAGCAATCTTACGATCATCAAACACATATGGCACTTTGTGCCTTACGGAGAATACAAATATTTCAATTTTATCTAAATATGGCTTCAAAATTGTAATGTATTGATTTTTCAAGATATGCCACTTGTACATCGAATGCTTTGAATTTCAGAAAACTATACTAGACAGCAACGTCCGCTGTGGTATTATTCCTGTTTAATTTATGCATGGCCTCCGTAGCTTCGCGAGTATTTGCAAAAGATACTTCTCTAAGTTAGACTAGAACGTAATATATGTCTGGCAACATAAATTGTGCAATGCGAAACGTGCAAGTTCGCAAAATCATGTTTGCAGCTCGCAAGCCCCGACACGAGATCTCTGTCAATATTCTCGCGAACAAAATGGCCTTCCCTGTGCTAGAGCACTTAAATAGCACTTCGTACATATTGCGAGCATGTTTTCGCATATATCCAGTGAAAAGACAGACTATTCATATTTTCCGTCGCGAGATAATTAGTACCAAATTTATGAATCACTTGACATGATCCTTGAAAAGACGGCGCGATCTCTAACTAAACTATTTCAAAATATTTCTTCGTTGTCGAAGATATACAACTTCAATTACATTGATCGACAATGATTTTGTTAAATGAATAATTTCAGTTAATTCTTATGTATTTTTTAATGTTAATTCTTCTAAAATAAGATTCAGAATTTATATTCTATAAATTACAATTTTTTTTGTAACCGATATCTCTTTTTAAAAATTTATACATTTTCTAATAGCAGCTCTCGTTGTATATGGAATCTTTTTTTTAACTAAAATGATTTATTTTTTGCTTAAAGCCTTTTATATAGAAAATCATGTTAAATTCAAGTAACTACTCACTGTGAATCATTTATTTTAAGCAGAAGAGATAAATAGAGGAATTTTTTAATGCGTATTATTTAAAAATCCTGCCCGCCTCATAAATTTAGCAAAAGAAATTGAAATCAGCACAAAAAAAGTATTTTAAGAAATACTCTATCGTATTAATTTAAAATAAGAAAAGCGAAATTTTGTCGAACAATGTTATTGCAATTTGCAAACTAATTGCCGTTGTATTTCTGAATGTATACAACAATTTTCCTTCTTTTCGTAAAATGCACCATTCCCAAACTGGGAATATAATCAAACGTGCTTCAGCCCATTAAATTGTACAATGCGGATGGCTGCTTTTAATTTAATGAGCACTTTTATTCTTGTCTCGATTTCGGACATTTAGCCGACCCTTTAATTCGCCGCGCTATTACGGCACCTGCACCCTGTTATACGCGATATTAAATAACGCAATGATTCTCTCGTTGATTACAATTATTATCATTACGCATTTAATGACGCCTGACGCGAGGCGGGCTGGGAATTATCGTTAGCGCGGGATTCCCTCTTCGCGGCACGCCATGAGTGAAGCTACGTCTAGCGAAGATTTCAACTAGTAGTCGTTATTCGTGTTTCCGCATTTCGATCCTTCTGCAGGGTCTCCTCAACAGTAGTCGCACGTTACACGCGAGGAGATTCGCAAGTGACGCGTGAATTGTGCGTGGTACTGGCAGCATAGTGCACGCATCTCCGCCAACGAGATGTTCACCTGCATGCACCTGCGTACTCGCGTTCACGCTCGTAACCTCGCGACTGTAAAATGCCGAGTGGATAAGACTACCGCTTGTTGACTTAGGCGGGACAAGAGAGGCCACTCGATGTCCATCCCGCGAGCACTTCCTATCGGGTCTGATTCAGGTATTTCGAGGGACGAGAGCCGAGAAAAAGTATGACGAGAACGATATCACACGTAGCTATTCTCCAAGCTCAATCAAAACTGCGATTTTATTACATGTCTCCTAATGTCCGCCAATCTTTTATATAATACGTACATATCTCGATAGAATTTCAAATTCACGGTTCATCACAGAAAACAGTGAAAACTTAGTTTGTTCTGAGACAATATCAATCTACAAAAACTTTCGAATTTTGCAATCAAAATAATGTAACAAAAAATTAAAAAGAGAAAATAATAGCAAGAACACAACCGTTTTAAATCATTTTGTCGAAATCAAATTGAATTTATTCCTAATACTACTAATTCGAGTTTCTTTAATATTCTCTAAATTTTTAATATTCATATTTTTTGAATTATTTCAAATATGTAGTCTTAATTAAAATTATAAATTATATTAAGAATTTCTAATTTTGCAGTTTTCACATGCGTTAATTAAAAAATTTACAAACACAATAAAAATGAATTAAAATATATTCGACTTCCAGATTAGATATTTAAAGTAATTTACGTTTTTTCATGATAAATGTTTAGAGATACATATTAATAAATTATATTTATTCCTATTTTTTTCATAAATTTAGCAAAAATTCGGAATAATAACGGAATGTTCTTTCTTATAATTGATTTGAAAAGAGTAATTGTTCGTGTCATAGATAAAATAATATGTACGTCGCTTATTTAGTTGATGAGAATTTGTCAAGACAATAAAAGTCATCATATCACACACATACACACACATATACATATCAGGAAATTTCTAACAGCTACGATCAGGCGATCGATAGGTTTAAAACGTATAATATCAAAAAGCGCGTGGAGTGCACATGTAAATCATTAATCACGTCTATCGAGCTGATATTGTCGAAGAATTCGATCATTTAATCATCTTGACACCTTGTCGAACGTAATATCCGAGGATATTCGTCATTCAATCGTCCTTAAAGCTATGTTAATTCCTACTCTGACTTTTTATACGAATTTTTAATTCTTCTCACGTCGGATCGTATAATATTCATTCTACTCATACACATTTCTTCATCTATTTTTCTGACACTAATCGTTCTGAAGACACGACTCTTCGCGTCTTCGAAAAGACGGTTCTCTTTTATTAGGTATAACAGGATACAGTAATAGTGTATTTAACACATCGCAAGGATCGACATTAATGTCAGCCGTTTTTATTTCCGCACGCAAAATCATTCTCCAAGTTTTATGCTCTCTGTACAAAGTTTTCCGTACTGTTATTTTTGTATCGTTGAATAATTTTATATAACAATCTTTTATGCCGTATATCTTCCGAGCCGTAAACGTTCTTCGCGCATGTTTTTGCGATGCGTTATTTATCCGTCGCTGATGCGCACAACGACGTTATAAATTAACCTTCTATTTATCTATTAATCCATCTATTCGTACGAGACGTCCTTCTGTGTTAATCAAATCAAAGATCGCCATTTGATTATCTACCGCGCGTTGTCGCATTATGGTGCATCCCGATTGTCTACGCATCAATAAAATTTTAACTTATTGTTTTCTAGTAATTCTTGTGTCATGCCAGATATATCTTTTATCGCGTGAATTTTTCTCAACGGTATGTCGTTTTATTGTTGAAGTGACAAGTCTAATTCGGACTGTCTCTTTCCATTTACACCTGTCGAGTAATCAGGGTGTTACTGACGTGTCAAAATAGATTCTGTCTCGAGGATACGTGTTGCCAGACATCTAAAAATCATGACCACGTCACTGTACAATCATTCAGGAAGGAGAAAAAGAGAGAGAAAGAGAGAGAGAGAGAGAGACCTACCTGATTTTTTTATTCTCGCAACTTGAGAACCGTTCAATCTCTGCGAGGCGTCTCTCGAATTATAAGAGAATATATAGCATAATAGGCGTATTTGCCCATTGCTGAGCGTTCTTTCTTCCCCTCTTTTCGCA